CCCCAAAACCCCAAAACCCCAAAACCCCAAAACCCCATGATGCTTGATATAGTCATCACAATTGGTTTTCAATAAATAATAATAAAGAAAAAATGAGTCAAAGCTACGAATCACTCATTGATAACCCCTCTGCCAAGTCTAAATTCCACAGAAGATGCTACTTGTAAGCATTTAAATGTCTTCAAATCATTTATCTAAACTTTTATTCAATAGGTATCTGTCTAAAAACGCTCTTCCAAGCATTTACTACGATAAGGTATTCAAGAAGGAGTATCTTCCTAGTAGAGTCAGATACAATCAATTCTTCTTCTATGCTGCTCTTGGATATTACATTTTCAAGCTCAAAGCTGGTGTAAGACTTAATTTTGCAAATATCAATAAAAAACAATCAATTATAGAGATAACTATTTGTTGATGAGGGCGAAAGAAATTTGGGACAGAGAAAATACTACACTTCTGCAAGATCATATTAGAACTTTATTGCTGCTAGAAGTGATCAATCGAGTCTCAGAAGCCACGTTGACAAGCAAAACTACATATTTTGAGATGAATAAATAGCTTTGATCAAAATGATAAGTCAAAAGAGCTTTGAGGCATGGGCTGAATTGATATATCATGATATTTAAAGATTAAATATTCTAATGAATCTCTCTCAGTCACTATTTCTATCACTTAAATGTTTCTTCATTAATCTTAAAGTATAATAATCATATAGTCTACAAGTCAAGAATTATTAAATTGATTTGAAAGTTTAATTTGCTTGGAAGTATTAATTTAGAGTTTAAGTTAAAATAAATTTTATTCAACTCTTGAAATAGTTTGCAAAATGTTCAATTCGATAAGATCCACATCCAGATCCAAAGTTTAACTAATATACTAGGAACAGAAGTCTCCTAATTACAATAAGAGAAGCTCTGATATCACCAATTATAATAGCAATCATAAGAATGAGCCCAAGCAAAATGAGAGGGAGAGAGATATGTCACCAGGCCTTACTTCCTTCCAGAATTACTTGATTGCAAAAAACTCTTCCCCATTGGTAAGACTCTATTTTTTACAAATTTTAGAGTAAAATGCATAATTCTAAGTTTCCAGAAGAGAGTCCTACAAGGCAGTTAAATACTTCTAATGGAAATATCAATTAAAATTAGGCTCTAAACATTAGTAAAATAGATTAGATATCTCAAAAAAGTTACCTTCAGCAACAGCAGTAATAATATACTATATTAATTTTTCAGAGAAAAAACTCTAACCTCCTAAATAAACATATCTAATCAAAACAGGAATCTTCAAATAAATACCACCTCTAAATAAACAACTGAGTCGCCAAGAATAATCACTAATTCAATGTAGCCAATACTAACTACTAAATCAGATGTAAATAGACAATAGTTTGCAAGCTCTTTCGCAACTCCATTGCAGAATCTTTAAAGTCTTCCTGATGACTACATAAGAATCATATAAGATATTGAGGACAAAAGATCTAGATCTAAGCATAGGTACTAGCCATCTCAGCTACCATAAACTATGCCTAACTAATTAGCAATGACTCAAACATAAATGTAGCTACCTAATTTTAGACAAGTATCAGGCTTATAATCAATGGGAAATTTACCTAATTAAACATCCTCACTAAACAGTCTAATGCCATAGCTAAGCAATCCAGAAATTAATGTCAATTATCTTGAATCACTTTATCAAAATTAAATTATGTAATAGAAGTACCCAGAATACTAAGATCCTCGTTTACTATAGATAAACCAGTAAATTTAAACACAGAATACACCGACTGCAAATCTATCTGGGCTGAATTTACTTCAATACTATCAGTAGAAATTCAACTTAATTTAATAGAATTAGCTATAACTTTAAGCTTAACAGCAGAGTCTCTACTAAGAATTATAAAATCAGTACTAAAGTTAATCGAAATATTCACCTATCGCTCAGCCATAAGTTATTCAAAATTAAGTATTTTAGACCCCACCATAAATACCAATATTGCAAACTTAAAATTTGCTTGGGTATCCCTCACCAAATAGGACTTATAATACTAATTCAAACTAGCAGTTTACTCCTAACCCAATTGAGAGAGCCCCTTCAAGTACTTCACATAGACCAAATTTTACCCCACTTTCAAACCAAGTAATAAGAAGAAATAATGATGATTTGTACAAATTAATAAACAAAGAAGTACTTGAAGATTTTGAGAGCAAGAAATTCTCCCAAATTTAAAATAAGTACAAGCAGGTGACTAGCATCTCAAAAGATGTGCAGTTAAGGATTTAAAGAGATGACTAAAGTAGAAACCCTTCTCACAGAACACACTTTACTGGGAGATAAACTGCAGCAACTTATGTTTAAAAGCATCTTAGAGGATATATTATAAGAAAAAGATTTGAAATGTTTGTTAAGATCTTTTACTTTTTCAAAAATATCTAGAAAAAGACCTTTATAAAGGATCTTACGACAGGTATGAAGGACTCTTTCACTTAGATCAAGAATATCAAGAATAGCCTCTTAAAAAACTATGTTAATCATTGTGCTATAAAAATTCAAAAGATATTTAGAGCCCATTATGCTAGAAAATATCTGGTTGTAATGAAAAGAGCATTTTCTTAAAAAGAGGACTTATTAGCTGGAGCAGTTAAAGCATGGAGATTAAGAAAGATTATGAAGACAAAGGAAGTAGAAACTCTAATTCAATAAATTAAGGATTATGTTTAGGCTATGGATGATTTAATTGGAGATTTTTCTATTTCAGAAAGGAAAATGGAGCTTCAAAGAGGGTTAGAATAGAGTAGATTCAATACTGTAGTTAAACTAGTAAAATTGATCAGTAAAATGTAAGAAAATGGTCTTTGGTTGATGTATAAATAAATGGAGAGAAGTGATAGAAAGGGTAGCTTGGCATCATCAAGTCATTAGCAATAGAGAGACATCTTTAAAGTTCAAAGAAACAGAAAAGCATTGGGATCCTCTTATAAAGGATCAAATGCTTCAAGTGGGGGAGCAACTGGATAATAATGTAAGAAAGATCATTATGGGTATTTGACTATTGAAAATGATCAGACCCATTAGAGACCTTCACTACCTAAAAATTTTGCAATTGGGGATTAAGGAATTACTTCAATGCAGAGCACTGCTAGTTTTAGAAATAAATAGCTTAACAACTTTTATGCTTCAAGCAATCTACAAGGACCCTATTATGAATAAAATAGTGGAAGAGTAAATGATTCACTTTAAAGCATCGAAGAATTGCTTAACACTCACACTTAGACAGTCTAATCAACTTAACTTCAGAAGAATCTGAATGCTTATAATGATATTCCCATTAAAAGTTTCTCAAAATAATTCAATACTACTTCTAACTGCACCCTTAATATGACTAATAGCAGATTTGAACCTAACTTTTAATCAGAGGCTTACAAAAATTAAGCTAAGGAGATATTCTAAAGAAGAATGACTTATAATCCAAGATAGGCAGCTTCAAGATCAAGAGAGAGGATAAACACTAATAACACTATGAATACTTTGGAAAGTCCCTTAAGATCAAGTCCAATAAAAATTCAGTCTGTAAAGTAAAGCAATATTATGGCTACAATAGATGAAAGCTTAACAGTTTAAAACTAGCCAGCTCAAAACATTCAGAGACCTTAAACTAGATAGAGCACTAACACTTCAGGTGCAATTTAGCCATATTAATCTACATAAAATATTGAAAGAAAAAATAAGTTTTAACTGACTCAAAGAGAGATAAAGCAGCAAGAGATCAAATAAGATGACATGAAACCTTAAAATAATGTTTCAGAAGAGAGAAAGTTCGCTGGGTCAAGAATGAATGATAGTAGATAAGGAAATCACACTTTACCCTAAAGTTAAACCCCTGAAATTTACTCAAGAAGTATGCATTTTTTTACCTAATATATTTTTATTTGTTAGAACTACAGAGAAGGACTCGAGAGGAGAGGAAACAAAAGGATAGCTAAAATGATTCAAAGAATTTAATTGACCCTCGACAGCTTGATCCTAACATTAATATGTTTGATAGCAGTAAGGCTAATATTTATGCTTCTAATCAGAGCTCTACTCATGGATTATTCAAGAAAAGAATTTGATAAAAGTTTAATTTATTTATTACATAACTTTTTTAAACTTAACTGATATTTATTATATTGATAATTGAGCAGTCATTCATATTTCTTTGAAAGCATTTTCATGATGAAGAGTGAGATAGTATAGCATCCTACGAACATTGCAGCTAGGGCGATGATTGATTCTCCAAGGGTCTCTGGAGAGTTGAAATCACTGACTGGGTTGCATTTCTTTGAAACTTCTGTCTCATGCATGCACTGTAAATCGAGTCCATCATATTCATTCTAATTTAATTTTAAATGACGTGTATTCTTACCAAAAATAGAGCTTAGTAGCCATACTTGAAGAATGACAAATATTGGAACTCAATAAGCCAGATTGGGATGTTATCTTAATTGACGAAAAATCCTGCGAACAACATGAATGGAATGATCAGGACTGGAGTTAGTGTGACTGCGAGTTACTTATCGGAGAATATAGATGAGATAATGAGAGCGTAACTTCCACCAGTACAATATATCAATATAAGGATGCCAACTAAAGGATAATATTTAGGTTAAAGATATTTTCTTACGGAATAATGGGAAAGTGTATGAGTGAGCTGTACTAAGACCAATTGAGAAATATACTATACATCCGAACAGAACAGGCGTGATAATACTGATTGGAATCTCAGCAATAACTTTACCAAAGAAATACGCAGTAACTGAGTACATATTATTATTAACTTCTCTTAGGAATACAGGCCTCTCATCTGGGAAAATAAGAATAATATTTTGGATGGCATTGAATGCAATAGTCATAGTCATGAAAAAGAGGGCACCATTTCTGTTTTGAACTCCTTATGGAGTTCCATCGCAGTTTTGGAAAAGAATAATTGTGAATATAGCAGTGATGACAGTAACAATAACCTTGACATATGAAGTTTATGGGAGTCTAAGTGTGTTTAAGAAGTTTCTTTGGATTAGTAGACCAAGTTAGTAGCACCATCCAGTCTATTGATTATTAATATCGGCATCAGACACTTCGCTGATATTCGGAGCTCTGAAAGTGTAGTCGTTTTTCAAGCTTGAGTTTTGATAACTCTAATCAAAGAAGTCAATCTTCTGGGTGTATTATTCTAAAATTTAAGTGTGAGATCTCATTAATGCTTATTTATCTTCGGTATCTTCCTCCTCGTGACTCTCAATACTCATCATACTCATGAAATAGTCAGCTGGGTTACTTAGCTCTGGACATCTTTGTCCAATTGATGCGAAATAATCCACGGATAGTCTGGCTTCGTTGAAATAAATAATTTTTCCTTGGGCTAATAGCATGAGCCTATCGAACATTTCGAAAATATCTGAGTTTGGCTGATGGATGGTTGAGATGACTGTTCTTCCAGTTTGGGCTAAGTCTCTAAGTGTCTCCATAACTGATGTGGCAGTAAATGAGTCAAGACCAGTGGTGGGCTCATCTAAGAAAATCAACTAAGGATCGGTAATTAATTCGACTCCAATAGAAGTTCTCTTTCTCTCTCCTCCTGAGACTCCCTTTATAAGAGGACCTCCAATCTTAGTATTCTAACACTTATTAAGTCTAAGTTCCTTCACAATCTCTTCTACTCTGTTGATCTTCTCATCATAAGTGCCACTGAGTTTTAGCTTTGCAGCAAACTCAAGACATTCTCTTACTGTCATGGTCTAAAACAAAATATCATCTTGCTGAACATAGGCTGATAATGCTGAAAATCCTTTCATCTTGTCTCTATCAACACCATTGACATAGATCTTTCCTGTCTTTAACAAGTTCTAACTAATTTCTCTTCCAGACAAAAAGTTCAAAAGAGTTGTTTTACCAGCACCTATATTATACACGTCATTTAAAGAATGATGACTTACCAGAAGCACCAATGATGGATAAAAATTGACCTGGTAGAATGGTACCAGAGACATCGTTAAGAATGCTTTTGGCCTTGGGTGGTTCATAATTAGGACCCTTACAGCATTTTTTAACCTTTGGGACAGTTCTAATGACAATGTTCTCAAATGTAAGTTGCATTTGCTTCTTCGTTGAGGGCTTGAAAATTTTTCTGCCTCCTTCTTAGTCATTGTTTCTCTTTAAGGGATCAACATCGAAGGAGTGTTTTCTTTGAAGCTCACCAGAGTTGTCATCACTTTCGACGTCTAAGTTTTGATCACTGGCGACGATTTTCCCTTGTAATTTTTTATCTTTTTCTAGGACCATTTACGTAATTAGCTTTGAGATTTTAAGTTTAGATTATATCTGATGATAAAATAGTTATAGAAATAATCACATTAATAATATATTGATGATAACAATGAGAATTAAATTTATTGATTTAGTTCCTTATTTAATCTACAGTCAAATAGTTTAATAGTTAAATTAAACTTTGAAAATTAAATGTAGACCAAACTTTTCAGCTTACTCTTGATCTCTATGGTGCTAACAGGCAATGTAGCATCCTTCCAGCTCCAAGCCCCAAAAGTAGAGGAGTATACTCTTTTTGGAGAATTCGATCCCTTAATTCAATTCGTAAAATTCAATGCAGGGCTTTCCCTCGGGATTTACAAAGGACTTTTATGGTAAAACGTCCCATAGTACAGAGCTGATGGCTGCTATAGAGAATTATGGGACTTAGCTGACAAGATTATTACTAGCTTCAGTTTAATTGGAAGAGGTCCAGAACATCAATATATCGCTTTTGGAATATTTTCTGTTGACCTCTCTTAGAGACTTTACTCCGCTGCAAATGTTTGCATTCCCTTGTTTTTCGAAAACCCAGCAACTTTTAAGGCTGAGGTTGATCCAATTAACAAAATTGATCTATACACAAAGTACATCCTCAAGATCTTAGGAAATATCTACATCATGCTTTACAATACTGAGGAGTATGTCTTAGGCAGAGGACTTGCTGATCTTTACTTTGATGTTTCACATATGATTAAGCCATCTATAGCATGATCAAGAAAACCCCTATTAACAACATAGGACTAGAGATATAAATTAATCTGATCCCAATAATTTTGTAAAGAATCTTTATCAAAGTAATTCTATTTCTCATTATCAGCCAAACAATTACTTTTCATCATGGGGTTTTGGGGTTTTGGGGTTTTGGGGTTTTGGGGTTTTGGGG